TAGATTTCCTAGACTGCAAGGGCATGTAGAGTGTCGGCATTTGGAATTTTCCTGGATTGTTTGCCGAAGCCGTTGACAACCGATTCAAGCTGCACAGAAAAGACGGCTCCGGTCTGGTCTGTCTGGATGCTGTGCAGGAAACGCGAAACCAGCAGCCAGTACAATTTTTATTGTTGTATTTTTCCTTTGTAGAATGAAATAGAGAACGAGTAGGTAGCACTGTAATTTTCCGGACACAAAATTGATCTTTAGCCCAAGGTTCAGGTCAAAAATGGGTTGGGTTCTGTGATGTAGCGGTTATCATTCGGGATTTTGATTCCCGCCACCCGAGTTCGAATCTCGGCAGGACCTCTTTTTTTGCTTTTTTTTACAAAGCGCTTTAATAAACATGGCCATATGGGGGCATATGGTGATATGGTGGTGGGGGAGGGGAGGGGAGCATGTGCAATGCGTCAGTATTCATTTTCTTCTCTTTTTGTGCTGGATACACAAGCATATATTCAGCGATAATTTTCAAGTAAAGATGAGACTATTTGTTCCAGTTGTGATCATTGGTGCAATTCTAGCAACAGCAAAGGCAGCAGCACCCAAGGACGAGGACGAAGACATCAAGAGGCTCCTAGGGATGCGACCAGATCTTGCAGACGTGCTTGATCCAACAGATGACGACGGAAATACGCACGTGGCAGACGACAAGCCCAGTACTAAAGCAGGTCTGGATCCGATGGCGGCAAACGAGGCGGCGATCAAGAAGCAGAACGAGGAAATAGGGTGCATCAGCGAATGCAAGGATACGGACCAAAGCTGTCGTGCTCGGTGCCTGGGGGTTCCTGGCGTTGCATCGCGCAAGTTTCCTCGGAAGCAAGACATTAACGGGAACCTTCCCCTGAACTGGCGTACGCAGAGCAGTTCCTGCGCACACGGATTCAGTCCTCAGACATGCGCGGCTGTTTGCCCCATGTTGTTTGCCCTTGCATGGCTGGTGTAGCTTTATTTCTTTGGTTAAAGAATGGGAAGGGCGGGGGTCTGTGTTTGTTTCACAGCCACTTGCTTTCTCTGCTCTTTCTTTTTCGCTCAGCGCACTCGTGGCAGTTTGGGTTTATATAGAATGTTGTCAGGCTTGGTCCGGTTTCAGAAATTTTAACATTAGTGAAAACCCCCAGACAGACTAATAAAGCAGTGTGTGCGCGTTTGCTTTCCAACTGCCCCTTGCTTCGATATCTTTATTCCTAGTATCTAGAATCTGATACATCCATACTTGTGCATAAAATAGGGGGACACTATGTGCTTACAGAACAGACTGTGGACACGGGTACTGGTTGCGGCAATCGTGTTTCGGTTGGTCACAGCAGAAAAGACGACTACAGCGGCGGCGTCGGCAACAATCAACGTAACAACGACAACAACAACACTATCACCACCATCAGAGCCACTTGCATCGATATCATTGACAACAACAACACTCACAGCATGGCCGGACTCGTCGACATCGCCAGCACGGACAGAAACATCCAGCCAACGCACATCACACACCAGCCTGCAGTCTAAACGAACAGATAACCTCAAGCTGCACAGAGCAGCCAGTAGGGGCGGCAGGGGCAACGAGATGATCCAGTGCCTGAACGGGTGCTCGAGCTCACGGTGCCGAGAATCGTGTCTCAAGCGAGAGCTGAGCGACGAGGAGATAGTCGAGCGCACGCAGAGATGCCACAACGACTGCAAGGATGAGCCTGAAGAACTGATCCAAATGTGCATACAGAAATGCACGTACTATTTGATGGATCCGGTGGAGCATAGCCTGGAGGAGGAAGAGGAGAGCACCAGCACGGATGCGGGTGGGCTACTGCCGGATTCCCCGCATCTCAGGACCCGCATTCGGCTGATTGGACCGGACGGGCTCCCTGTAATCAGCACGGTTTATGACGACGATGACCAGGCGGCCGAAGTGGGCGGCGCCGTCGGATCAGCCACAGAATCGGCCACCACCAGCGACACATGGACGCCCGCCTACCGCGTGCGCATACTCAACGATGCTGCTGGCCATGCAGAGCAGCTGGGCTGGGTGCTGTGGTGCGCTGTGGTTGCGCTTTGTCTGGCGTTGTACGCCTGAGCTTGTTTCGTAGCAGTTCGCTGTTTTGAGAAACTTGGTATTCCCCTACGCTGCTGGTTTGACTGTGCCAAGAAAAACATTTTGCCATCTTTGTGTAAGAAGCTCTTTGTCCGCTTCCAAATTCTTTTCTCTCTTTTCTTCCTTTGTTTTAACTCTTCAACGATATTATTCTGTACTTTATTTCTGATACAATGGAGCGCATGTGCTGGTTTTCGTGGAATCGCCGCAAGGTGTTCAAAGCGCTGGGTGTAATTCCGGTGTTTCTGACGCTTGCATTGCTTGGCTGGTCGCTCGCTGCATATACGTGGACGATACTCCCGCTAATTTACGAAGAAGGCGT